ATGACTAGTTGAGAGAGAGAGAGAGAAAGGTACAACTTGAGGAAATTTACTTGGGAAGATTTAGCTGTTCGTCTAAATTCATCCCCGATAAACCTGTCGAAGAAGTGTGCTTCTGGAATGCACCGATTGCAAGACACTCTAGTTACGGTTTTCCAGGAAATTTCTTAATAATTCCACGGAACAGAGGGGGAGAGAGAAGGTTGTTCGAAGTGTTAGCCAGGTACAGAAGAGCAGAGAGTGTGTTTGCACGGATGCAAACGATGGAAATGGCGTACCGGTGATCAGTCAAGATTTGCACATTTTGCTGGCGGAATTGCAAGGCGAAACCGACCTATAAATACACGTTTCAACTGCCACTTAAGATTCCTAGCTACTCTGTCTGTTTCTCTCTCTCGTTCTATAATAGCTTCTTCGTGTTGGCTGCAACGAATCGAGAGAGGACAACAGGAAGTTGGAGGAAACTGTTCTCCGGTGAAACAATAGGCAACCGGACACGTTAAAGCTCGCGACTACGGGAATTAAACGGGTATAACGTCGGGATTGACGGATGATCCGCGTAATTAAACGCTACTTTGAAAATATACTCCGGGGAACAGGTGTTTTCCCGCTGGAAAAACGAAAAAAATGACCGTAATCATGCGTGGCCTACTTTCCGTCGTTTCTCTCCCGTCGATTTGTTTCCTTTTGCAAACGAACCGTCTAATCGACTGCGATCCCTCGAACTCAATCATACAGGAACTTGGAACGTCACGATGGCAAATGAATCGTATCGGCGGTAAAACGAAAACGGCGATCCTCGGTTACGGAATATTCATTAACAGTCGTTTCTTACGAATCGCAAGCGTGAGAATCGTCGATTTAATTGACGATTGGCGACTTTTACCGGCCCGTTTCTTGCGCGTTTGCGGTAAAAGAAACAGCGTTACCTACGATCGAGCACGAACAAGGAATCTAAGTCTCGTTCTTTCAACCCGCTCTTTTTGCCCGGCCTTTGGAAATACTCCGATACCTGTCGCGGATTGGCGACTCTCTAATCGTCTGGAACGCGCAGCAATGGCGATCGAAAACGGGCACACCGGACTTTTGCGACTTTCGCGCGTTTTACGCTTCGGAAAACCTCGCTGGTTCGGTGTGTCGACGTTCCACGTGGTGCCATTCGAGATTTTTACGCGTGCAATCGGCAAACGAGGTCGTTGTAGGCTTTAGAAGAAACGGTCAATTTTATGCTCGAAAACCGAGTCTTTTATTTACATCTTAATCAAATCGTAAAAAGACGAAGAGGCCTTGAAAGGTTTTCCTAGCAAACGTGAATAGATGAATGTCCCTATCTGGTGGAAAACACACGTGAAACCGTGTAGAATTGAAGCTCGTGCCAAACGAGCACCACCTATCAATGTACATACATCGGTTAGATCGTAAAAGCTCAGGCTACATTCCACTCTTAGATCTTCTTCCGCGTCTGACAAGTTTGCAATTTTTGCGCGGAATACAAGATCCGCTGAAAGTCAAGATCGTAAAACTAAGAAGATTACATAGCCTCTCGAAGACGTGATTTTGAAAATGACAACACGTCTTTCTGCGTTCTAGATCTATCTGATTTACGGTAGATCGACATGTTTCGATCGAAATACGCTCTGTGCGGTGTTCGGATAAGAGGAATTTTTACCGGCGCCAATTAGCCAGTTCTCCGTCGACCGGAAGAAGAACAGATTGTAATTTCTGATCGTGACGCGCGAGCAAGCTTCCGGGATTACGATCCCGCGCTGGTTGACAGGGACGTCATAGAAAGATACGGCGCTCGAGATACGAGGAGGATACGAGCTGTAGAACTAGCTGTAAATTAACCACACACCACGGACCAGGTATTCGTCGCTTCTTCGTGTTCTTCTTCTTTCGGTGTGTCTGTTGTGTGTGCACGTTACGTTGTACGGCGTGTCGAGCTGCGTGGAACACGATGGTAGGCTTAGAGAGAGAGTAGAGATATGAATGCACACGCGTGCAACTATGTGTACACGATGTTCGTGGTGGGTTTTTTTCACCGTGAGATCTGTAACACGTTGCATTGAACCTCGATAGCGTGGAAGTTCGCGTGTTATTATCCACAGAGTTGCGCCGAGGTATTTTGGATAGAATTCACGGAGAAGTTGCACGCTTTTTGTGTCAAGATTTCTCGATTACGTTCTTTCTATCTTTCGTACTCAGAAAATTCACGGGGATTTAATTTTTTCTTGAAAATGTTTTTTGAAATCTCTTTTTGTTAGTATTTTTGGATCATTTTCTTTATATCTTTGGTACTCAGAAAATTCACGAAGAATTCATTCTTCTGTCAGTTTGTTTGCAGTATTTCATATCTATGTAATTACTTAAGCTAGCATTATTAGCATATCGTTCGAAAATGATTCCTACCATAACTTCATCTTCCTTCTCTCATTTAAAATCAGCCCTTTTTTTATATTAGATTTGTGGATCATTTTCTTTAGATATTTTGTACTCGGAGAATCCACGAGGAATGGATTTATTTATCAGTGCGTTTGCAATATTTCACATCTGCGTAATTATTTAAACAAGCATAATTAGCACATCGTTCGAAAATGATTGCTACCACAACTTCATCTTCCTTCTCTCATTTAAAATCAGTACTTTTTGAATCATTTTCTTTATACATTCTGTACTCGGAGAATCCACGAGAAATTAATTTACATATCGGCGTGTTTGCAATATTTCACATCTGCGTAATTATTTAAACAAGCGTGATTAGCGCATCGTTTGAGAACGATCGCTACCGCAACTTCATCTTCCCTCGCTCGTTTAAAATCAATTATTTCTCCAATTTCCATTACCCCTTATTAACAATCTAAACGGACCCATACTCCGTGATACGATTACGCGATACAAGGTGGTGGTTCGGTCTCGTTCGAGGCTCTGGTGACTCTCTAGATGCTAATGATTCAATATCTCATCGGGCACCGCACTTTCGTGTACACACGCGCGTACATTTTAATTGCCGGAGCCTCCCCGACACACGCTCCCCTCTGTCAAGATATAATTTACGCGTACGCACGCACTCACCGCTCGATCCTCCTAGATTCTCTTCTTCTCTATCCTCCGCGGCATGCAAACCAACGCTCGATCTCGATCGCCAGGCGCTGTGGTTAATGTCCCGTTTGATTGGTCGACGCTCCGACGATCGACGACGATCGATCAAGAGATCAAGGCCAACGCCACGATCCAAACGCGAGATCGATCGTTTTTCCTCTGCCTAGGATAACGATCGTTTCCGTGATCCACTTATTACGCCACCTCTCGTGCGCATTCGCCGCTAATAATTACCTAATTATTATCCAATCGCGGCCACTTTTTCTCTTTCTCTTTCTTTTTTTTTTCCACCAACCAACACAGATTCGTCCACTGTTCCCTGCGCGTGGAGTCGCCTATACTCGGTTATTAGCTCGCCTCATTAAACGAGTATCGACGAGCGAAACATCTTCTTGCATGCGTGCGTGAGTGCGCGAACGAGGTGAATGATTGATTCAAGCTGCGTTTTTTCTCTCTTCTTTTCTAGCGGTGAGCAACCGTGTAACGCTCGCGTTCGTGGTTTAATATCACGTTCCCCTCCGGTTGAATTATCCTCCCTTATCGAAAAGAAATTCTAACAACTTCTTCTCGGCAATCTATTCCTCTTCGAACATTTTTTAACGTCTCCGTTGATAACACACGAGGCTTGTAATAAGAATTCAAATAACCGAGCTCGAGTGTGTTTGCACTCGCTTCCACCTCTTTCTACGTTTAGGAATCTCCTCTTCTCACGTTCCCCGTGACGACAGTGTTTCGACGGATTTAGACCGACGGGAGAATAGGAAGAAGAAGATGTAGTCGTGACACGCGAACGAAAATAGCGATTATTATTCCGAAGTTGATGTGTGAAACGATCGTTGCCGGTTCTCGGAAGATCGAGCTGAGAGCGAGACGGATAATAGATAAACGAGATACGGCGAGTTTCACGGTCGATGAATCCGGCTCTAATCGATTATGTATTTTTCGCCGCTCTTCACTCGTGATCGAACAGTTTTCATATCGGCTGAGAAGATCACCGGGGGGAGAGAACGCAAGACGAACGATATATTCTTGATTTCCAGTAAATGAACGGGCAATCAGCGCGCTTAATGCGATACCAGGAGAATAATCGAGCGATCCGATCGATTCATGCTTTCCGCAACGATCGCTCCACGGATATTAATCCATCGTTTAATTGTTTCCTTTTCTAATACCTGCTCTTTCGTGGCTGTTTATCGTGAATTAGCCGCCTCCCGATGCTTTATTGCACGTTCGAATTATTCAGATCGCTCGATAGAGATTGCTGTGTTTAATCGATGGAAATGCATGAAAGAAACAGTTAGAGTACTTTCTTATCGCGTGAAAATCCTTCTCTCACTCGAAACGAGAGACACTCGAGACACTCACAGACCTGCCTATTTGAACCTTCCTCTAAGATACTTAATTATTGACATTCGTCCAACGCGATCCTCTGATCGCGCGAAAGACGATTAATAAAAATCGACGAATAATCGACGCATCGGGGACGAAGTGAAAAAGAACGAGCCGCGGTGCTGTTCAGTTTATATAAAAAAGAGAAACGATGTAAATCGCATCCCAGAAAGGACATTTACCTTGCGAAACGCGGATTGCACAACACGTGCACCACCAAGCGCAACGATCATCCTCTCGATGCTCGAGAAAACGTGTTCCCTGAAGAAGAATCACCGTAAAATCCACGGAGGAGAGGAAAAAGTACCGTAACCCAACAACAACAACATCTATCTCTCGGTCCTCCTCGGAGGAAACGGTGAAGAAAGAGAGACAGAGAAGAAAATAGGGGGAAAAAAGAAGAAAGAAAAGAGAGATCTCGATGCACAAAGTTCGCGGTGCACCGTTGATCGCGCTCGCGCTCACTCGCTGTCCCCTTAACCAACTAGAGCGAAGTAATAAAAATAATCACTTACAATCTAATCTTCCAGTCCATCCTTGCGGCGGCCATGACACGCGCGTTGCTCCTTGGTTCCACGGACCCGCACGACCTTCGTTCGCTTCCTCAGCTTTCGACTAACGCTCCCTGGAAACTCACTGGAACAGGGTCTCTCACGAATCACCAAGTGCACTGTTGTACGCGCGCGTGTGTGTGTGTTCCTTTTCGTCGAAAACGAAAGCGCGCTAACGTAATCGTTACTTGTGACCGTTGTATACGAATTATGTCTCTCGTAGAACCCGTTCACCACCGGTTTCCGTTTAGCCGCGCCACGAACGGTCCGTTTCCACTGTCTGCTCGCGGCTGACGACCGGGATCCACTTCCACTGCGTCAGGAGGACAAGAACACCCAACGTGAAAAGGACGACTCGTGACGGTACCGTGTATTCCCAGTCTTCTCGAATTTACCAACTTTTCGATTTCTTCTCGATCGAAGATCGTCGGACAGAGAATAAAACTACCCTTTTCTTTACCGGCGTTCTTTAGGTATCTCTTATCAAACGAAGCACGACGTTCTTTCTTTCCTCGATCAGATTCTCTATATCGGAAATACGAAATCGCGTGAGTCGCGGACCGATCGAGTAGTATTACGGTAGGATAGAAGAGCCTAGAGAACGGGCTTGTTGCGCGCGATCCACGAAAATGGAGCAACGTGCGTTCTATGCCACTGTTCTCCGTTCTCCGTAACACTCTGCCAGGATATCCGCGCGTGGCTGCTCGTCTTCCACGGCCGCGAAAGGTGGGAAGATGAGGAGGAGGAGGATGGAAGAGTAGTAGAAATAGAAGAGGTTACCGTGGTGGAGGCGGTGGTGGTGGTGGTTGGTGGTGGTGGTGTGCTGGCTGGTGACGGCTAGTGGAGAGGTAGAAGAAGAGAAGAAGAAGAAGAGTGTGGTGACGACGACGGTGGTGGACGATGATGGTGATTGTGGTAGTGGTGGTGGTGGTGTGATGGTGGTGGAGGTGATGGTGGTGGTGGTGGTGGTGGTGGAGGTGGGTACTCGTGAGAGGATCCTCGCCGTGTGGAGTACTAAGCCGTAATGACATGGTCTAGGAGATGCCAGTCAGTTTTGTAATAACGTCCGTAAAAAGTGAATTTCCAGGCGAAGGTGGGGAAACCTGGCTAGGTCCAATCCGAGAGCCTTCGGGTTCGACAGCCGGCCAATCGGAGCACGACATTCCGGACCGTAGCTTCTTCTTCTTCGTCTTTCGTTTTTTCTCCGCTATTTTTTGTCCTCCTCTTTGTTTTCGCCGATACTCTCCCGAAGAGTCGTAGGTGTTTTCGAAGGTGCTGAACGTGGCGTTCGTTTGAAACTGACCGCCTGACGGGAACACTTGGGGTGTTGCTGAGCAGCTGATACGAGGAGCTTTTCGAATCGAAGACGAACAACTCTTGGAAACAGAGATATTAGAGGGACGTTTCAGATTTGTGTGAATGTAGGACGAATTGCTGGTAAATATCGAAGAAAGGGTGGTAATGCTGGCAAGAAAGGATATGACGAGGCACGGTTCGAAAGGCGAAATCGTATATACACGTGTCGACGCGCGATTGCACAGGCTGCTGTTATTACGGTGCATTATTCATGCACCACCAGCCACTCGGTACATTTAACGGTGAACAATATGGTTGATATGTCAATAGAGCGGTATCACTTTTTGGCGGATGATTTTTGGACCGAGGGGTAGAGATCGATCCAGAGTGACGAAATAAATGGTACGAGGTATCGATGATAGGAACGATAAACTTCCTCGTTATTGCAGTAACAGTAACTTGGTTCTTTCTGTCACGGTGAATGCCGGCAGCACACACGCTTCTCCACGGTCCTTATTACTTCATCTATCATAGTGGATCGCTGACGCGTTTCAACGCTCCTCCTTTTTACCTTATCAGCTCCGTTCGGAATTCGAAAAATCTAGAATAATGACATTCCTTCGCTGACGCTTGCTGCGAAACTAGAACTGTTCAGATTAATTATACATCGCACGAAAGGAACACAAACAGAGAAAACCGAATCGAACCAAGAACGAACTACATATTGAAAGTCGGAGAGCGCGATACGCGAAGGTGGAATAAACGAGTGGAAAGCTGAAGGCGGCCGGTCGTTTCCAGGAGTAATAAAAAGGGTCATTGTTCGGCAGGAACTACTGTCGCTTCGAGGCGCGTTTCCGCGAAGATTCCGTTTCGCACTCGCCTAACGGCACAGCGAGCGCATCCTCGTGCCAGGGAAATCGTCCAAGTGAGTGTTAGAGGGACAGAGAAAGGCAGCCGAAGAATTCTATCGAGCACCCAGTCTCTGACGAACCAAAGAAATCGTCAATCGCGTTCCCTGGACCTGCTCGTTAATTCACCCAACAGGAACAAGAAATTGGCGAATAATTGATACGCGTGTTACGCGATTACCGTTTTATTTTTCGTCAGAAAATGCAACGCATCGCGTTGATTCATTTTAATTAGACGAACGAAATGACCGGTTATGAGAAATACTTGGAGATAAGTAACGAGATGGAGCGTTTCATACTTGGATCTGTCTCCGGCTAATCGACGTCTCGTGACGAGAAGAGGAAATCGTTCGTTTAAGACCACCAAAGGTTAATTGACGCAACGAGACTGTTGGTAATTGCATTAAGACACTCGGTTGATAGCGTGTAACCGGAGGGAATCGATGAATTGGTGTTCTGTCCGATTCGATACACGTCGGGATTTGCGCGGAACCGAGAAAGGCTACCGTTGCGGAGAACGTTTCCGTGAAACGTCTGGTTCGCCGTAACGGTACGGGTATCCGCTGAAATTGACGAAATTGGCGACGATACGGTAACATCTGGGAGCCTCGGTTGCGTAAGACTTGGTTCCGCGTGTCAGAGGGCAGACTGCGAACCGTTTTCCTTTTCACGTCGCTTGGGAAAATGGTGGTTGGAGTGTTTTACCATTCAACGAACAGTTCGAACTTCCTTTGGGAAATCTACGTAGAAAATAAGATCTGTTTGTAGGAGGTGATCTAACGTGATTAACTTTACTCAGGACGTTACTAAGCGGTTTATTCCAAAATTATTTTACATCGAGGTCTTCCCAAAGCTAAGCACGAACCGCCCTCTTATGGGCCGAACCGATAAACCGTCCCAAATGCCTAGGTATTCAATTTTGCACCAATGCAACAATGAAATTTTATTCCTCCACGTACATTTTAAACTCCTTTTCGCCAAATGAGATTAAAGTCATATATACCTAAAAAAAAGCACAGCCAAATCTCACCGAATGTGGACTAAAAATCGCTGAAATCTAGCCGCTAGCTGGAATAAAACGGAATTCCAATGAAACCACGGGGATCCTCCATGCATGAGTAGGAATTTCAGCATAGACTGCACGTTGTTCGCGTAACGGAAAACGCATCGAGCGGAATGGACGAAATCGCGGATAGGATAATTCACGGAGCAGTTTGGCGAGCCGGGGAGCAAGATAGCTGCGCGGGTAGCAGAAGATGTACACGCGGTGGAAAAGGAAGCGTGGTTCCGGGTTCGATTCCCAGGGCTGAGCAGAGAAACCGATCTAGATTGAGTAGAGAACGAAGGAGGCGCCTACCGGCCAGAAAACACGAGCTGGTAGCAATAAATTATTATAGCACGGGTGATTTCACGGGGCAAAAGGGTCAAACGAGCCGAACGGAACAACAGCCGGACTGTAGGCGGATAGTGGATGATCAAGACGTCGCCTCGAATCGGAAGTTCATCGAGCTTTTTCACTCTCTCTTTCTCGCCGGTGTATCGTGCGATCGGTAAATCGCGAGGGATTCGATTGGAAGCGTTGCAACGTTTGTGTGGTGAATACACTTCGTGATTCACAGAGGCTGATGTGATCTCGTACGAGAGGCGTGTGCAAGGTTATGTACGAGTTTCTGGTGTCTGCAAGCGTTACTCCCGGTGAAATGATCGCTTCGGTTGCTGTAAGAGAAAGGAGTGATTATGGTAATGCCGGTGAAACGAGAATTTCATTCAGGATTTAAAGAGTGGTAAGCTTTTTGCTGCTCGGTTTCACTGACAGGTCTTTCGTTCGATTAACGCGTACTTTAGATACTTTTCGCGTAGCCTGGAAGTCTGAGGATCTATCTGATTGATAAATGCAATCTAGAATTATTTCAATACCATTACTTCAACGCTTGATTTGTAAAAGTATAATTAGATTGCCATTTAGATTTTGTACTTAAATTACATACACCCGCTTTCGTAAGTATTAGGACACTTACTTAAGAAGCAAACTTAAAATTTCTATTTTTTAATCTTTTTCTAGCCAAGGAATGTAATTTAAATTATGCAGTCTTTCTGCACGAACATACTAGGTGTTCTAATATTTCTGAACACTAGAGTAGATAGATCCATTAATTAGATAAATTATTTTCACCGCTTATTTCGACATTGTTGCACGGAGTTCATCGTCCTCGGGGGGTCGAAGAACGTCGGACATCTCGCCTCCTCACACACGCTCCCGAACGGAAGGAAACACCATCCGAACCCCGTGAGAATCTTGGAAACCACAATAAAAAAATGAAGTCAGCAGGCGCAGAAGCAGTAAAGTCAAACCGTTCTTTTCGCTGGAACCCTTTGTCCGCGCCAAATTATCCGCGACGATGGTGTCGCGGATAAAGGCCCTCCTCCGTTCGTATAATTCCTAATTTGCCCCAAGTGCCCCAACCAACTTCCCTTTCTCGTCTCCGTTATCGTCCACGAGCCCCCGTTCGGCCTACGAACACCAGCGACAGTCTAAGCGTGGCCTCTAACATCCAGCAAGAGGTCGATCGAAACCCACGATAACCAGAGTTGACGCTGCATCTCTCTACTCGGCGAATAATGCAACAGTTACGTTGCTTCGACTTCTACCATGGGGACCATTGTTCCTCGTTGTGCGAACTTTCGGGGCCGTCGACGCGTAAAGACACGCCATATGCTTCTGTTAGGTGTGATTTCACGTGTGGAATTGCATTTGGAAGCGATTTAAGAACGGTACTTTTAGCCGGAGTTCAAAT